TATATATATCAATGGGTGGTACGCCCTGGGGCACACTGACAGGTGTGTACTGTATTGTCATTATAACCTTGTTTAATAAAGTTAAACTAAATTTGGGACGATAAGCCTCTGCTACCATCACTTTGTGGGCTGGAAGCTGAAAGGTTCCTGATCTTCAACCATTAACATGTTCATTAATTGTGTTTGTACAAAATGTGTGTGGGTTTGATCAAAAAAACAAACTGACAGAAAAATACCATAAAAAGTACACGACTGTTACTACTCGACCAGCAACATCAATACAAACTTTATCCTCTGTCCAAACAAAACACAACTTTAGATTTATGCAGAAATTTCAGTTTAAATGAACACACTCAGGTGTAAGCAATACTGTGCCTTTATTTTGAAAGTAACTTCCGGTCACATCTTGATTGATTGTTGTAAATTGCCCAAAAATTGGATTTTGGCTGAGCAGTTAAATCCTCTTCCTGTCATTTTCAGTGGCTGCTGGGCGTTTCCCTACAAATACTTWAAAAAGAAATAATAACAGGTATAAAAACAATCTGGTTTTTTTGTTCTGTTTTTGTTTTGTTTTTGTTTTCTTTTTTGTTGGTTGTCCTCTTTGAAATAAGTGGTTCGTTTTTAGCATGTAATGCAGCAAGATTACTGTCAAATGTTTATTATAAGAAAGTAGACGCTAAGTTAAAAATCATTTTATCAATGGTGCACACTTTAATAAAACAAACTTTAATAGCAGATGTCTGTTTTAACTGGAATAAATCAAACTGATGGATTTCCTCAGATGACAGAGTGGTAGTCTGTTCAGGGGTCTGGGGTCATAAAAAGGGGAGCATGTGTTTGAAAGACAATAGTTTGTCTACAAAGGACAGATGGTGGGTTGTGTTTCCACCCCCCACGCCTACAGAGCCATCACAACAATAAGAACCTTGAAAGTAACACAAAAGCATCACACACGTTCAGAAAGGCTGAGTACCACACACACAGGTTCAGGAAGCCCTGGTGTCCTTGATCATTCAATGAAAGTAATTATATTTGACTAATTGACTTTATTTGTCACATGTTTCTATAATTAGCAACTAAAAAGCAAAATAAAAGCCTCATAAAAAAAGAAAAAAACTTTAGTGGATTCATTCAGTCGCATTTAACGACCCAGTAAAAAAAAAATCCTTCAATAAGTGATTCTGTCTTTTTACCAGGGCCGGCCGTGGCGTAGGCAGTATAGGCTAATGCTAAGGGCCACATCCATCTAGTGGGCACTAGTGATGTGACGTTCACGAACGATCCGAATCTTTTGAACGACTCTTTACAACGAACGATAGGAGCCGAGTCGCGGGCAGCAACGAGCCATTTGTAGTTTTATATATTTTATTCCTCATAATCTTTATTATTTCATCCTTAAATCGCTCCCACTTTGCTTTTTCACGGAAAACTGGCAGAGCGGTGGAGAACAGAAGCTCACGGGAAAGTGGGGGTTCCACCCACACAACATGATGACGTCATCACGTYGCCATACGTGATGACGTAATTCCCTACATGATGACGTAACTTGTTCAAAAACGAACGGCTCTTTTGAACGGCTCTATGAAACAAACGAGATCCTAAGATTCGGATCCCTTCAAACAGCCATTTATCCCATCACTAGCGGGCACCACAAATGGGGAATGAAATTTTTTTAAACAATTTTTTATCAGAGTATAGAAAAGAGCACAAGGGGCACCACTTGAAATTTTGCCTAGGGTGCTAAATTGGCTAGGACCGCTCCTGCTTTCTATCCCTATACTGCTTACAGTCTGAATTAAACAACGTTATACATTTTAATAGTTAAACAAAAACCTTTTGTAATTACATTACTTTTACACCTGAAACAGTTGGCTGCCAGTTCAGCCTCATCTTCATCATCATCACTGCCCCCTGAGATCAAAAGATTAGACATATGATGGCCCCCYGCAGAGAAGCACCTAACTATAGTAGGGTCGTGTTAATCTGCTTAGCTAAAAGCACAATGACTTGGTTTAATCCAGCCAATAATCTGAAGATATCTGCTCAGTCTCAGCTGGAAACTCAAAGCTTCTGAAAGCGTGTGGTGTTTCACATCGACTCATCTCTGACCACAGAGTRGGAAACAAGTTATCTGTGGATCCATTTGGCAGGGAGTGCATCAGGAAGAGCCAGAGGGGAAGTGTTGGGGGAGGGCAGCGGGTCAAGAACCAACAGCTGGTGTCACAGAGGACCTCAGGGAGGGACAAGGACAAGGATGTCAACTTCCTCCTGCAGGGAAACAGGAAAACAATGAGACAAAGTTACAACAACTCTGAAAATCTGGTACAAAATCCACACAAAGGCAGAAGTGTGACTACAACTGGAGTGGTACTTCATTAAAGATAGACTGGATAAAGAAAGCAAGCACTAATGTTTTTGATCATGTTTGTGTATTTAAAGCTACAACTGGTTACCTTTTATAGCAGGGGTGGAGACATTTTTACAATGGGTGGCCAYGGTTATGATTTTCAGTCAGGAATGAACCCATGATGCAGATTAAAGTTTCCAACAAACAAAGTATTTATTTAACAAAAAAGGTGCTGACTGGGCAGCTCAAAAAACCCTGAGAGGCTAGGCAAGACRAGACACACTACAGAACATAACCCAACAATGACCCAACAGGGAAGTGAAGACAAGACACAGAATATAAAGGTGAGACTAACGAGCACAAACAGGGAACACCTGGTGGAGAAACATGAGGATCAGGTGTGAGTGGGCGGGGCTGGAGCAAAGGCAGACAGGAGGAAGAAAACAGGAACATGACAGAAAAATCAAAATAAAAACATGAACCCAGACGAAAAATAACATCGCCCCCACCCACCCATTAAGGGACGGCTCCCAACGTCCCAAAACATACAGGCCCCGGAAACCAATAATGTTCAGGAGGCCGACCATGAACCTCCCAAC